GCCCCAGCCCGGGGAGCCGGAGGGTGCCCCGGGCCGTGCCCGGCCGAGGTGGGAGGGCACAGGGCTTGTGCCTGGGTGCTGGGGAGAGCAGCAGGCTCCAGCGCCGGCGGAAGACAGCTGATTGCCCAGCAAAACAAACTTCGCAGCAGCCACGACCACATTCAGCGAGGGGACAGGCCCTCGCGTTCAATAGTGTTTAATCTTCATCTAGCTCAACACAAATCAGTAGTGCAGCAATATAAATACAACCGAGGAAGTTACAGCCTTTTGGCTTTCATAGGTCAAAAAAAAAGCCAATGAAACAAGTTTCCAGTTTTTAAATTAAACACAAAGAAAGGCAATAAGCTGCCCACCCACCCACAGAGGAGCAGCGGCATCCTTCATGCCAGTGCGAGGCCGATTTCTGCCCGAGGACAGGGGTGCAACTCACGCAAGCAGCACAGTGAGACGAGGGAGCGGGTACGGGAAGGATGGCCCCGCACCTCCTCCCAGCGCCGCGGCAGCGGGGACGCAGGGCCACTGCCCGCTGGCACTCACCAGGCGATGCCCTCGGGTACCAACAGTTCCCTTTTCCACCGACCAAAGGACGCCGAGCGTGTGCTTCGCACCGCGCTGGGAGCACGCAAGGCTCTTCAGCCATAACAGCACGGGGCGGCTCTCCCAGCAGGAGAAACGATCCGGCTGCCGGAAACTGAAGAGATCAGTCCCCCCCTTGCCTGGGTTGTGCAAATTTTAAGGAAAAAACCCCACAGTATATGGCGTTTCGTAACTGAGATATGATGAACATCCAGACTCACGGACGGCTTGGTGACCACCAGCAGGCGCTGGGGCCGCCGAAGATCTCACAGCTTTGGAATTAAGCCAGATGTTAGACCCAGGTACCAGAGGCGGGTGTCCCCTCCCGGCTCTCGTACCCAGCAGGAGAGCTTGCTGCAGGAGGGGGTCTCCTAGCCCAGCTAAATACCACCGACAGGTCAGCTTTTCACACTGGAACGGGCACCGTGTCGCCAACACTCCCAGTGAGAAAAGCCTGACTGTAATTTAGAACAGCTACAAAACCCTCTCCTACCTGCAGGCTGATGGAGTGTGACCATAGCATTTAGATTCCCCCTCCTCTACACTCCAGAACAGCCAAGTGCATATGAAAGGACAAATCTAAATTAAAATAGTGCTTAAACCATTAGGGAAGGTGGGAGTGAAAGAAGAAAGCTGTTCGACAGCAAAAGTAGCCCACGGTAGGCTACTGGAGCCTGAAGGGAGCTCCGAGCACAGCTCAAAGCACAGCCCTGACCTTCCTTCTCCGAGGACCTCCCAAGGCAAACGAGCTGGAAGTCCATGGGCGTTTTCCTGCCCTGCGTCCCGAGGTGGGGCTGGCGGGTCCTGCACCTTCACAGTTGCTCCAAGTGGTTCTGTCCTGCCGCGCTCCAGACGCCAGCTCTGTCTTTCCTGACGCTTCGCCTGGGCTTCACAGTTGCCTTCTCCCTTTGATTTCCCTTGAAGTTCAAATTCAAGTACAACCAGTTCTAACTGAATGAAAAGAAACCCACAAAAAGAAAGTTATTTTCTGTGAAACAAGTTAGCAGCGTTGTCCTAATCAAACCGGGCTCCAAAGGCCCTTGTAGGGTAAGGACAGGAGGGGCCTTTCCCACCGAGCTCCAGCAAACGGCTCCGGAGGGCAGCTATAGGATTTCCTCCCTCTGGTTCTTGGGTTTGGGCGTCACTTGTCCATTGCGCAAGGAGCCGTTCTGGCTCCGGAGCAGTTTCCCTTTTTCACGGTCAGGCCACGTGAAGATGGCTTCATCGCTGTCCAGCTCAGACTCCGAGTGCATCAGGCTAGTGTTGAGGACCTGGGCCTTCTGTCTGCCGCCTTGGAAGGAGAGAGATTCCCAGGTTAAAAATAATTTTAATACTGGTCAGCCACCTCCCCCTACTCCATTCCCTCTAAGTCTCCTTTTCCCATCGCATCAAAGGGGCAGCCCAGTCAGCCTTTCCCGTGTCCATCACTCATTCCTCCAAAAGCTGAAGCCAAAGTGATCCCGTTTCAGACACTCTGGCATGCAGAGGTCACGGAGACTCTTCGAGACAGTGCAAAGCACAACAGGTAGGAAAGCAAATTACATTACCAGAAGGGGCTGAGAGTATACGTGGGAGCTTTGTCTCCCTGACCTTGCTCAGGGCATTGCCTAGAAAGCTCTCCGAGGGCTAAAGGCTGTAGTAAAGAGAACATGCAGGTGTGCGAGGGAAGATCACTGCGTTCTTACTACCCTCCCTACTCTCACCTCTGCTTCTCTCGCCTGCAAGGGAAGGGAGATAAATTAGCAGGCTGAATTTAGATTAATGCACAAGGACAGGAGAGACACATTCACTGGTACTGTCAGCAGACGAAATATTTAAATTTAGCTTTTTCTTAATGGAGAAATGCAACATCCCCTTTATTAGCAGAACGCTCCCTGGACGTATCTAGCAGGGAAACAGACTTTGGTCAGCAGCCAGCCTCGGAAGCAGCAAGATGAGTTTAAGTTACCAGAGAGCAAAGGGCTGCCACAGACTGCAGAACAACGAGCCCTTTATTTAACAGCGGGGCTCTGCCGTGCAAGGTGACAGATGGTCGGATTACAGCAGAGTTGGGTGCTGAGGGAGGAGAAAACACCCGGTTTTTCTTCAGGGGCATCCGTATTTGTGCGGCTGGGACGGCCCAGTTCTCAGAGGAATTGTCTGGTCAGCGCTGTCGCTGCAATGCCCTCCAACGCTGCCGTCAGGCACTGTTCGCGTTGCTGGAACACCACGAAATGGGCTAATACCAAGACGGGCAGTTATTTTCCACTGGCAAACAAGGATCAGGGACTATTTTCCAGAGGCAACTAAAATAACCCCTCCTCTACACAGAACCAGGACGCACGCTTGCATCCGCAACGCGTGTTTCAGCAGCTGCGGCGCTGCCCGGCGTCTGGCGGGGCTGGGCTTCGCACACCCCTCCCCATGTCTCCCCCCGGTCCTGCTCCGTCAGCAGGGGACACGGCTCCACTCAGGTATCAGCCAGGATCGCAGCAAAAGGGCTCCAGCCTGAAATAACCCCACGGTCTTTGCAAAGCACCTGACCAGCACTCCTGAGGACAGCAACGCAGCCAGGAAAATGCTGGCTACGAACACCGAAGACAGACGACTGCCCTTCTGGAATGGGCCACCGGGCCTGTGCCCACGTAGAGCCCCGAGGACTTCGGGGGTCTCTCCCCTACAACAACCCTCTGTTTTTTCCAGGAAAAAACAAAATGTGAAACTTTGAGCCTGATGCTCACGAGGGCAAGAGCGAATAAATCTACAAACAAGTGATTTGGAGTGGCAGATTCTGGGGGCAGAATCAAACACGGCTCTCTCCAGTCCATGAGTATTTGCAGGCTGCTTTCAGGCGTCCCGTGGCTCACAAGCTAAAGGCAATCAGTTCGGTGGAATGCCTAGTGACACCAAATTCGTGCTTTGCTGTAGAGGCAGGAATTGCAAATTGGCAAGAAGCAAACTACCAGAACCAAGTGGAAAGGCTTTAGAGCAAGAGAAGGTACAGCCAGGACCCAGTTTTGGGCTTCCTGGATCAGCTTTCACGCATCCACTTACTGCTACTGTGACAGGAAGTGGAGATGCCAAGACCAGGCAGTTTCAGCCCCAATTTCTAAACCAAGGAGGTCGATAACTTGACTAAATACCCTGTCCACAGATCTGAAACAAGCTCTTGGACCTCCTGACACTCGTCTGTCAGAGCCTAACACCACGGTTGTTCCACTCTGTGATTTCAAGCCCACTGAGTAAGAGCGTTCTCAGTCAGCATTCCGAAATGCCGCGCTCTGCCCTCTCATGTTTTACCTGCTTTGGGATTTGGTTTTAACTCCAGGCTTTCTTGATCTGTTGCATCCAAAATCTTGTATTTGCTTTTTCTTTTGGATTTTCCTTTTCGTCTAAAGGGAAGAAAAGGAATTAAGAGGCAGGCCATTTCTAAAAAAGCCAGAAGAAAAAACAACTCTGATCTTCAAAGCCAGAGTACTTGCTTATTTCAGATCATGTTCGTATCAGAAAGCAAGACATTAAAAATATTGCTTTAGTTGGACATTTAGAGGCTAATCCAAATCTTGCTTCTTAACTGAAGCCAGACTTCTAGGACTTCAATGTTTCACTTGAAACAGTGAGTGACAAAACCAACATCCCAGGGCTAAGCAGACGACCTGCTGGGACGATGGGCTGGAATCGTTCACCTCCTAACGCAGCTGCTTGGCTCTGCAGCAGGGACACAGCGGGGGTTACGGCCTCAGCCCCACCTCTTGCAACAGCAGATCACCATCCAGGAGAAGATTCCGCAGGCAACCACAATGACGAAAGATGCAATGATCACATACAGCACGCTCCACTCTGCAAGCAAAACACCCCAGAGATACAGACGTGTTGGCACCTCATGCCGTGGTCAGTGTGCGCTTTAGATGACCGTTCTCGAGAAAGAAAAAGCAAGACCTGCCCCTCTGAGAATGAGAGGCTAGCACCCATCACTGCCAGCACCACCAACTCCCCGTGGAAGGCAGACCCTTGAGATCCAGTGTGCGGACTCGCTGCCCAAGGGCATTTTTCAGCGTGTGTTGATTTACTAAATTTGCTTTCCTGTGGCAGGAAAGTCTCTGTAGGGGCACGACAGAAAAGAGGTCTGATTTATACACTAAGAACGGACTTCACCGAGAGGGTCCGAAGAGGAGCTGCTTCCCTACCACGTAGCGTCTGCCTAGAAGGTACGGTGTCGTGAGACCAGGGCAGGGACGGTCTCCTTGTGTGAGCACCACGCCAGAGATACCGGGAGAAAGCGGGTACCTGTCACTGCCCACCCGGGGTTTCAAACACTGTTTGCTTTCCAGGGGTGAACAACCGCAGGGAGGCTGCACGTACCACAGTTGCTCTCGCCGTCCCCCATCTGCACCCTGATGAAGTTCTCCATCCAGAAAGGGTCACAGACGCAGCGCTTGGTGAAGGAGTCACAGCGACCGTGCTCGGAGCAGTTCAGCTGACACGCTACGGACCAAAACCAGCAAGGTGAACGAAACGACTTGCAGGCGAGGCAAAAACGGGGCAGTACAGCTCAATATGCCCAGCCCCCACGGGCTCTGACCTGAATCTCACCGCTCTGTACTTCACCCTCAGCTTCGCTGCAAGAACTGCAAACGTAGCACCGAGGTCTCATGCCAGATCAGAGTCCTGCTTCACTAACAATGCAACACCCATAACGTGCTAAGAAAATTTTGCCTAACACATCATGATTTTCATATAAAAGTTATGGAATTTCTATACTTATTAAATAAATATTTTAAAATAAGGTTTTGATTTTCAAAGTCAAACCCAGCCCGTGAGACAGACTACCAGAAACAAATGGATCCTCTACAGTGACCGAACTTTTGAAGGCCACAAAGTTGTAAGCTCAAGAAGCCATGAAAATAATTACTTTATGTAATTCTAAAGTATCCAACTGATCAGCACATGATCCTCATAGGGCAGAGCTCATAAAAAGAAAAAAAGCGCTAATGTAAACTTGTAAAAAACTGACAGAAGTGAAACATTTCCTGCAGACAGATGTATGTGCTGGAGTGGAAAGGACTGTGTTCACAGCTACCAAGATCTGTGGCTTTCTTGTTTTCAGTATGAGACTCAGTTCATTGGCTGTATTGCATTCACACTATATTTTAGCTTCTTAAGTACCAATCTGCTTTCGATTTTGTGAATTTTTATCTTCCCAGCAACATTACTGGAGTGAGCGTGTACGTGCTAACACCACCTGCGTGTGGGCACACGCGAAGGTCCTCATTCTTGCAGACATCTGAGAAGACAGGAAAAGATGTTGGCTCGTACCACAGTGACTCTTACTTACTGACTGTGTTGATTTCTAACGCCCGGAAGATGAGGAAGTCTGGCTGTTGTTTCCGTAGTTCGTTCTTCAGCGTCCAGGCTACCTCTCGTCCTTTGAATATCTGATGGGGAAGCTGGTTCTGTACAAAAAACACCATCTTCGTGCTGGAAGTCAGACAAAAAATATTATCTGCTGCTTCTCCAGACACCAGGTAGAGAGCCATTCTCCCCAGTCTGGCATTAGAGGGATTTATTCAGAATCCCAAATTTATTTGAAGGCCAGACTTCTGGCTCCATCTTGAAAGCAATAATCGTAGACCTGGTCACACAGCAGAAAACCCGCTGGGACATCCAATACATCCATATTTTCAAAGCTAAGGCTGGACTGTTCGTGAGTTTGCTAATCAAGCACATCTTTCCACGTTCACGCTATGCATGCAAATCCTCAGACTTTAAGGCCCTGCCATTTTCATCATCTCTTCCCTCCCTCCCTGTGGGATCCTTAGACCTTACCACGCGTGGAACCTGGGGGCTCATTTAACTGCGCAGCACACAGCTCCAGCACCAGAGAAGACAGTGAAGGTTTACAGTCTTTTGCAAAGCTTAGTTTGAATGCGCAGTGTGTTACAGCCAGAAGAAGCACAGCTGTGGAGGATACTGTATTCTGCATCTTTTATAGCATTAACTTCACGAGAGAACTTGCTCCCCTTGGCTCGCTAGCCTGGCAGAGCCCTGTGTATCCTTCAGATTCACAAAAGGATGCATGGATGTTTCAGATTTATTACTACCAGTGAGCCTATGGGTCAAAAGGATATTAGTGAAGCCCTCAGAGTATGTGGAAAAAAAACAGCAGCCGGAGGAAAAACATATTTTTTTTAAACAGCACAAGTTACTTTGATAGTTGAGGCAAAAATGGGATCCTAAGGCCATCTGGCAGCAAATAATCTCTGCTCACAAAACACTTCCCACTCTTCTGTCTATTTAATAAACGCATAAACGGACGAAGCATCCCTTACTTGAATCCCTTACTTGCCTTGCTCATTGAAGAACAGTGGCAACCGGTCACGGCAGAGACAGAAAGGCAGCACTGCAACAGAAAGTGCTGCCTCTTCTCTTCTGAGCTCTTTAAGTTTGCACGGACAATGAATTCTGATTTTACTGCTACAGCAGGCAACGTGGACACGAAGGAATCGATACATTACTGAACTCAGGGAGGTCTGAAGTACAACTGCAGATTTATTGCTGACTTGCTACATGACTTTAAGCACATCCCTTAAATCTTTTTCAGTGCTTTACCTACCTTAGGACTACTCCCTGTTTAGTAAAAATCAAGTGCAATATTGCACTCATTTCAACAGATTACCACTCTGCCCCTGATAAGCTTGTTGCCATGCCACTCATGCATACTCAGGCATCCTCAAACACACCTACGGTAACGACGGACTGCTGTTGGGACGAGATACGTGCAGCTACGGCTGTGACCACGCTACAGCGCCAGTCGCTGAAGTTCTCTGCAGAACGGTGAATCTCCCAGACCCGCCGTTGTGCAGAGGTGGAAAGCTGAACTCGGTCAGGTGCTTTCATGCCAAAGCAGCATGGACAGGATCCAGCTGGGCTGAACCACCCCTTGTACGACTGGCTGGTTACTGTGCTTGGGGCTGAGCAACACTGTCCAGGCACTCCACGTGTCCCAGGCCTATGGCCCTGCCTATGAACAAACTGCCTCTTGTTTACAGGAGACCAGCTAATATAAAACTACAAAGCTGGCATGGAGGGCTGCTGCGAGGGGGGTTGCTACACCACCGCCTCTGGTGTGGCATCCATGTTTCACCAAACTGCTCTGTACCAAGCCCCATTATTTGTCCAGTTACCAGTCACAGCTGTAGAACATCCTTTAGATAGTCTTCACAATTTTCAAAACCACATCAGATTAGTTCTTACTTTATAGATTTGGGGGGCAAAGACATTAGCAGCAGCAAACAGCTTTTGGGGACAATGCACTATCTCCAGAAGGAAAAGATGCCCAGGACCTGCTTGGGAACACATCTCCTCTGATCTGAGTAAGCAGGAATATCAATTTTAAGCAACATCTCGACATGTTCCAATTACTCCATTTGCTTCCCAAAAGAAAACAGCCCTTGGTCTACTAAACCCTCCAGCAATCTCCCTCCCTGTACACTCACAGAGGAAGCCTACCTTTGTTCCGTGTACGGCTGGATTTTCTGCACAGTGATGTCCGAGTCGAGGACCCCCAGCAGAACGCCTATTTGTCGGATGAACATGCCCTTCTGCCTCTCCGTCAGCTGGCTGACATTAACATCCAGGATCATCTCCACAAGGTTATTTTTCCTAGGATCTAGTGAGGATGTAGATGAGATAACAGAGATCTTTAGAACTTCTATTGAACAGTCTGAGTACAAGTCAGGTTTCTAGTATCTTTCCAGAATGTTTCTGTTTTGGCCACCAAATTACAGAATCTCAGTGCAGAAAGGGATACAAGTCTATGACTTTCCAGGTAACAGTGAGCAGTAAGAGTGAGCCCCCAAGAACCACCAGAAAATACAATCACATACCCCAAAACTGTTGACCGTTCGCAGTTCTGAGCCGGACAAGACGACAGACTTTACCTCAGTACACTGCATCCAGACAAACAGCGGGCTTGCTAGTGCGCTGTCAGCAAATGTGGTAGAGCAGAAAACCCAGACTCACCAGGTTTGACTTCCACTGTGGTCCTTTCCACATCACTCTCTCCTTTGGCATCTGTTACTCTGAGGTGGAATGTGTAGGTCCCTTCTACCAGATTGGACAGGAGAAGGACAGGATGATGGTCTGAATTATTTAGGACTTCCTGGAAGGCAGAGCAAAATCAGTACCAGGAAACAAAGGATGAAACTAGCATGACAGGTCATCATATTTACAGATATCACTACAAGGCACCAGGTGCGACAATGAGCTTTGCATTTCCTCGGGTGCTGTCAACAACTAGCATGACAGGTCATCATATTTACAGGTATCACTACAAGGCACCAGGTGCGACAACGAGCTTTGCATTTCCTTGGGTGCAGTCAATGCTACCTTTCACTGACTTTCGTGATGCTGGAGACTGACATTTAAAAAAAGAAATCTCACCCCAGCTGCAGGGCTCCCCTCGTCCCGGGTCCACAGGTAGCTGACAATTCCCTTATCATCAGAGGACTTGGATCCATCCAACTCAGCTGTATTTGTGGGCAAGGTGATGACAACATTGCCAGCAATCTTTGCGACTGGCGGCTTGTTTATCTCTAAGCAAACAGAAAAAAAGCAGTTAGAGAAAAATCTGGCAACGCCCAATCAAAACCTACTGCGTTACATCTCCACTCTAGCCCAGAAATCCCTATCTCACACTGCGGGCAGAGAAAGGAAGTTACGTTCTGCAGGATGCAGCTGAAGATAACGTTCCTTCAGAAAAGGGCAGACCCCTGACTTAGAGAAGGTCATTTCAGTGCTCTCCACATCAATTTTCACCCACTCCTTACTCTTCTTGTGCCTCTGAACACAGGTTTTGCTGAAGTGCTCAGCGATAACCCGTGTCTCCGGCAGCTCTGCTCACGGCTGGACATACCTTCTTTCACAATGACGTTGACCGAGCTTTGGCTCTGCAAGTTCCTCTCATCTTTAACTGTCAGAGTAAATTCGTATGTGCCAACTTGAAGGCCTGTTACAGTGGCAATGCTGCTGTTGGCATTCTCCAGCTTGACACCATCTGGGCCCCTAACCAAGGCAGAAGAGGATCAGTACAGACCATGGGAGCTAGCCTCACACCGAACAGGAGGCTCAAGCCCAAGCAGAGTTTATGGGGGTGCAGACAGACAGTTGCCTGGAAATACAGAGTCCATGACAAAGAGCAAAATTATTTTCTCCAGTTACAGCAAGATAATCAAAAGAGTAGGTGCAGCATTCAGAACAAAAAACCTGTAATTTCTGGTGGTTTAGCATTTTGATTATTTTTAAACCAGGGGAGCACTGATACCAGCATTTAAGTAGGGTTTACAAAAAGTAGTACTTCCAGCAAAATTGGCTTGTGAACTGCACAATAAGCCATTTTTTTTTTTAAGAAAAGTTATAGAGCAAAAATAGTTCCTTCAGTTATAAAAGCTTTGCACAGACTTTGCAATAGCAAAGAGAAAAAGCTACTGCAAGTTGCTCATAGGCTTTTTCCTGAATTCCCTAAAGCACTCCAGGAACTTCAGAGTCTGAAGGGAAGCATGACAGTGCGAAGAGCACTGCCTCATTCAAATTCCTGCAAAGGATCAAGTTAGAAGGCCCTGTTACTGCCTGATTACAAGAGTCCACCCTTCATACTGCCAAGCCCACACCACACTGCTGTGATCCGAAGATGGCCAGACCCCTTTACGTGCCATAACCACACCTAGAATGGGAATCGGGCCTAGAGATGAAGGCAAAGGTATTTCTGATGCTCAAACAAACCTCCACCTCTCTCCAATTAAACACAAATCCTTGCCTCATTCTAGTCACTGGTGAAGCTTGTCAGGCCCAATGTGGGACTGAACACAAGGGAGGTGTGTGGGGGTGTGTCTTGTTTTAAATGAAAGACCTAGATCCTGGCATAAGAGCAGTCTGGAAGCTGATACACACCGGGTTTTTTCCCAGAGAAAGGAGACTATCTTCTGGTCATCCGAGCTCTTGCTGCCATCTAGAGTGGTGCTGTCCACAGGAAGAGTTAATTCTTTGTCTGGACCAGCATCCGCCTTTGGGGGCTTATTGTTCTCTGAAAAAGGATTGCAGTATTTTTCACACACATGCCATAAAAGGTGGAGCTTAAAACCCCAGCATTAAGAAGTTTCTCCATGATCCCTACTATATTTCTTGCCTGTTACCAACCTTGTACTAAGAGAAAGTGAGGTTAAAAACAGTTCAGAGTTCAGATCAGCGTTTCATTCCCACATCTGCAATAAAATGAGAATGAAATCCAGGAGTTCTCATTTTTGCTCTCATTCTCTAAGCATTATTCCACTTTTCCTGCTCTTGTAGCAGGATCAAGCACTGTGAGCAGATAGCTGCTTGGAAATACAAACCTGCCATTATGGTGGGATAACGTCAGTTAGACTACGTTGTGTAAAGAAAGAGAACAGCCTAGAAAGGCAACATCCCTAGAAACTTTCTTCTGCTGATTTATCAGCAATATACCAGCCCAGAATGGGCCTAAATTAGAGCAGCTTTTCTGAAGGCAGCACAAAGCTACCGTAAGATCTAGAGTACGTTGACAGATTGATGCTCACCTCTAACCCCTGGAATGGAAGTGGGAAAAGCAGCTAAAGGCAGCTTACCTGGCTGGACTATGACAGTGACCTCCGCAGTGGACTGGTGCCCAGCAGAATCAGTCACTATGAGCTGGTAAGTGTAATCACCTTCTTGCATTGCAGAGAGCTGTAAGACTGGTGTCCTCACCCCCTTTGAGAAAACATATTCATGTATTAAGAAGAATATTTACACAGATGATGATAGACCAGAAGACTCTGCTTCTAAAACAACTATTATCAGCAGATTCTAGGGGCTTATTACTAACTCCTGCTACGAGGCCCAAGTCTGGGCCACTTACGCCTGCAAGGCACTTACAGGTAAATTTATGCCCAGCAACAATGACACTGTTGTGGAACATCACAAGAGTAACACCGTAAGGTGTTCAGACCTTTTGAGATTCAATAGTTAGCAACTCAAGCAAAACCTCTGGGAAGCCCTGTGCAAATCCTACACATTGTGAACCTGATTCACGGACTTTCTTATTCCATAAATTTGACAGTAGTAATAATCTTTAAAAGAAATATGATGACGTGGAAACAAGTTCCAGCTTTTACTGTGTAGGACTGAGGAGTGTCTGGCTAGTATCAGTTAAATTCAGACTAATTTAACTAACTTATTTTAGTTAATTTCTTTAATTTGATCTGACTTTAATTTCACTAAATTAAATTGAGGTTTGACTCAAAAGATCCAGTCCATTGTAGTCACCCAGCTAGAGAAAAACATGACCTGGCACAACGGCTTCTCCTGCAAATCTAAATGCCACCCTGACTGACACTGAGCTAAAGGATGACATTGTCTGGCTCCACAGCTGCTGATAGCACTGAAGCATCCCTATTATACCATCATTGATCTAGCTGTCCCTGATGTTCTGAGAAGTCAGCAACTGAACAGAGAAAGAACACACTTCCCTAGCAGCCGTATCGGTTCAAGCGAGAGATGTGGGTGTGATCATGTTGCGCTGAGACCTGCTGTACAGGACGTCAGAATCCAAAGCCATCAAGTTCTCATTTCTCTTAATCCTCCATTCTTGAGCAGTATTGAAGACTGCATTGCTCAAGAAAGGAAACAGGATGCCAGTGAAAACCTGTGGCTAGACTGGTGTCCCAGCTCAGCCACTAAGCCAACACCAGCTTCATGCAGCTTTAGTTTTAAGTATCTATTTAACCATCACATGCTTGCTCTGCAGGATTATAAGAGACATTTGTTAACAGCCATTTTAAAATGGGTTGATTATAGAAAAAAAGCCAGCCAGTGAGAAATCCAGAATGAGTATGGGAGACCGGCACGGACCTGCATCTCCATCACCTTCCCTTTGCTGTTAGGGCTGAGCAGCCACTCATAGCTGACAATGCTGTGATCATCGGTGCTCTGGTTCCCGTAGAGGGTGATGGAGTTCTGAGGCAGCGTGATCACTTGGTTTGGGCCCGCATTTGCCACTGGAGGATAATCCACTGCTTTGTTCACAGTCAGGTTTGCAGTGGTGGAGTTGCTGGCACCATCCGAGTCCACCACTGTTAGACTGAAGAGGAAAAAAAAAGTGAAAGCAGTGAAGAGTCATGATTATCAGAGCTGAATACAAAACACTGGCTGGAGTTAAGTGAAATGCAAAAGAAGAGTTGGAAACTTAAGATGCTTCCACGGACAGGACAGAAATTTTTTTCAGGAGTGAAAAACACCTGTGGCTTGAGGCAACGGTGCTTTTTCGGAATAGTAACTTCCCCCAAATGCCCAATTATCAGCCTCAAAATGATGCACAAAATTCAACAATCACGTCCATCTCTAGCTTGAAATCTACTAACTAGTTCCAAGACAAAACTGTGCTAGTGAAAGATCATCAGCTTTCACACACACAGACGTGACAAAAAAGAGCTTCTGGAGTACGACACTACCTCCCAACAGGAGACGTTCACTAACATGGACAGCGCGGTTCACTACTGACCCACGAGGAGCCTGAACACAAGCTGCCTCCTCAGCTAGGGCAGTACCACACAGCAGAACGGCTTTTTGTTAAAGGCAGATCTGAACATCAATCTGATGAGCTCATATACCAACTGCTTAAGAGGGAAACAGTGTTCAGTCACAGGTACTCAGGTTTATTTTAAATAGATGTGCTGATGCAGTGCGTGGACATCACACCAAAACACAGACCAAAGGAAAAACACAGAGCAAACATTAAAGTGAAATCACAGAATCACAGAATAGTAGGGGTTGGAAGGGACCTCTGTGGGTCATCTAGTCCAACCCTCCTGCCGAAGCAGGGTCACCTACAGCAGGCTGCACAGGACCTTGTCCAGGCGGGTCTTGAATATCTCCAGAGAAGGAGACTCCACAACCTCCCTGGGCAGCCTGTTCCAGTGCTCCGTATGTGCATAAAACTATTAGGCCTCATTCACTTATCCGGGACAAACACTGTGGATTTAAAAACTGGATTTAAAGACTGCATTTCTTCCTAAGCCTTTACCCAAACAGTTTAGATCTGACATTTCAAGAGACATTTTGTAGTGCTGGCAGACCATTCATTCCCTTCTGCCATCTTCTTAAACCAGTGCTACAACTTAAGAAAAAGAAGTAGCTGGATAGCGTATCTCTTCTGAGATAAAAAGCTATGAAACTATATGAAAGTGTAGGAGTGGAGAGAGAGAGTACATCACAAAATAAAGTTCTTTCCCTCGTGTTTTTTTTTGTTTTTCACTTAAACCAGACTAACGCTTCAGGAATCTTGTACATTTTACTCTTAAAGGATGAGAACTGATCAACTCTTCCAGGCATAACCTACCTGAATGTGTAATTCCCGGGTACCAGGTTGGTCAGCGTCAATATGGCAGTATCGCTAGAAACCTTCTCCTCCCGCAAAGGACCCTTCAGTTCCTCCCAGTGATAGCTGACGATTTTATCATCATCAGTGCTTTCTGTTTCAATTGTGGAAGAAAATGCACATACGAGCAGTTGGAAAACGCTGCTTCACAAACCCCAGATGTTCAGTCCCTTACTTCAGTACTGGGCTTGATGGGCAAAGGCATTTTTAGCCCAAGCCCAGAGGTCTCACGCTCAGACACCCAAACCGCGTGCTCTCCTCTACCTTGTTTCACAGGTATACTTTAACACCCTTAAGCCCAGGTTTGCACATGTGCTGGGGGAAGACAAAACAACCCAAAAGAAAACACTAACAAAATAACACTAGCTGGGGGTAAGACAACCTGAACATATTTAAAGAACCTCCTGAAAAGCTCTAGTGCAGGCCAGGATCAGTACAGGTGGTGTACGACCTAACTACCACGTTTGAAGCTTAATGCAACAGGCCAGTAATTTTGACTAACGGTAATTTCTTTTTTTTTATTCTAAGCAACCTCTAGAGTTTTCCTTTTTTAGGAGACTGGTTCAGGCCAGCACCCTTCAAAAGGAAGCACGGAGAGGTGCTGTCGTGTGCGTATTCCCCTCTCCCAGCAAGAGAGACTGATTCTTTTCACTGAAGCGTGTTTGATAGCGTCACAGCCACTTCCTCCTAAACCTTATCCAAAGGGCCAGCCCAGAAGGGAACACACAGAAACCCAGCTTGCTATACTGCGTGTGAAGCTGCAGGTACTCACGGCTGCCATCAATAACAGTTGAAATGGTTGGCAGTGAAATCTCCTGGAACTGCGGGGACACGATGGCAACGGGAGGCTGATTCACCCGAGGCTCTGCAACAATAACCGAGCTGTTACAATGACATCGACAGGCAGACCACGATGAGAAGCCCTGGCCAAGGAACTCCGCAGAACATTGCACACCAGGAGTAGCAAGCAGACACACATTGCACATCCTCTTCCCTCTCCCCAGCCCTATCAACCCCCTCAGTCTTGCAGCCAGCGAGTCCAGGAGAGGAGTTCAAAGCGTGGGATATTGCTGTGCCCCGCAGCTCCAGGACAGCCACCGACTGACTGCACAATCAACGACGGATTCAGGCTCTCAGCACATTATACACCATTGTGGGGAAACAGCGCTAACAAAAGGGAGTTAAAAAAGCAAGGAGGTGAACTGCCACCACCCTAGTGCTCTGGACATGGCTGCACCGCATCAGTTCCCCCACACTGGGTCAAGCACAGACCATCCTAACAGCGCAGTACAGTTTCTGGCCAAAGTTTTGCTGCCGCTCTGAAAAATGAATGGTTTTGCTGCATGCTGCCAGCTGCAGACTGACTGCTTATAAGGAAATGATCAGCAACAGCATCCAGAAGGCCAGTTGCTCACTCTTGCTAATTTAGCGAGTGCAAGAGCACTTCTTTGCCCACAAAGGTTGTAGAAAAAGTCCTGCCAAAGTGTGCAAAATACAGGTTTTTTGCTTAAAAGGAGATGTAGAATCCGTGGCTGCCTCTTCACACAGGCCACCTAAAAAGTGAGCCCTGGTGAGCCAGTCAGCACAAGCTACTGTATCTACGCCAGCTCATCTGCAAACCACGCCTCACAGTAAGGAACGAGAGTTGACTCCACCTGCCTGCACCTGGGACTGATAGTCTTTACTGGACAGGGAAGCAAAGAACCTCTGAAGGAGCTTCAAAGCTCTGGCTTCCCTTCATTTTTTGCTCCTGCTGCTATAAGCTTTCTACCCAGTTACAGCTATTTTTTATCGAAGCGGTGGCCTTCCAGGGCGAGGCATTTGCTAAGCACTTCGGTATCAGTATTCCAGCTCTTCTATGGAGTGGTTGGCCTGTACGCAGTATAGCAGAAACAGCTATGTGTACCAGCAACAGTTCCACCCCCCAGGAAACAACTGAATACACACATAGATACTGAGCACAACAAATTTTCACTACGTTAAACCAGGGTCCAGCCAAATAAGCAAACCACCATGACAGAGGCATCAGAGACAGACGAAGGCACAATTCCACCAACTCACTGGGATTGACTGTTACATTCACGTAACCCTCTCCGTGTGCGTTTTCCCCATCAACGATGACTCTGAATTCGTACAGCCCAACAGTAAGCTGGAAGCAAACACAACAGATTATTTACCTTAGGATGGTAGCATCTTGTCAGGAGCCATGGGGTGAAGTTACCATGCTTTGGCAGGGTAACACATTAGCAGCATAAAACACAGGCAATTACGCTTCACCCCAAGCACACATAGCAATGGATGGTTTCCATGCCAAAACGGTATTACATATCTTTGCGTTTACAATGGCTATGCAGAAACCAAAGACCAGTATTTCTTTCTACCACGGGTGCCACAGGATTGCCGGTCAAGCTTTATTTTCTAGCAACAATAGGCAAACAGAAGAGAGATAACAGAGATTAGTTCAGGTTGTCTGGCCACAGGAATGTGTACTAGCAGATTGCATTTGAGATGAGAAAGGCTGCACCTAAGAGAAAAAAATCTCTTCTCGTGTGTTTTTACGAAGAAAAGTATTTATTGAGATGAGAAAGGCTGCACCTAAGAGAAGAAAATCTCTTCTCGTGTGTTTTTACGAAGCAAAGTATTTCTTCTCTTTTTTCCAGGTGACGTGAGTCAGGCAGTCACCCCTTCATCATTCACTGTTGAGCCAAGAAGAGAAGGTGAAGGACGAGGTGCTGGATAACAATCATGGTATCCAAAAGGCTGAAACCCTGACAGAGATAGACACACTCCTTTCGAAGGGCTTTTCTCTGCACGATATCATGACTAAAGCCTGTAGATTTTTTCCAAGTGCAAGAATCCAAGATGCTGAAAGGAATGTCTCGAACACAGAACTGTGTAGTCACACAATATTTAAAGCCATTCCCTTGTTAAGAATCCCCATGTGCAGAAACTGGCGACTCTTTTCAGTGTTAAGAGTTTGTCTAAAGCAGCAGCCAGATATGTGCTACGAGGTACTCCAGAGGTACTCCACAGCTCTCGTTAACGGAATCAGCAAGGCCCTTTCTCAGTGGGTAGTACAAGGCTTCAGACCTAAACAGACCACCACACTGCTTCAGTAGAAATATTCACAACCCTTTGATAACGTTAAATTGTGCCATTTGTATGGCTTGACACACTGCTTGTAGGCAGCTTTTAGATCCTGAAATCAGTTTCTTCTTTCCCTCATGCCAGATCAATCTCCTTTTTGTAAGAGACTCAGAAGAGGGCTTGCAGTCAAATGCTGGCTGCCTGCCCATCATGCAATTTCCTGTTCATCCTGAAATCACACACAAGCCTTTCCTGGCTGCCAGGGTCCCCATCTTCTCCACTTGGCATTTAACACAACAGGCTACGAAGCAGCAAAAGCTCTACCTTAGATAACTTAAGGATCTGTGAATGCTTCCCTTCCATTTCTCCACTGTAGTCTTTCGGATGAGTAATCAATTCCCACTCATAGGAATACGTGGTTCCTTCAACAAACATAAAAAAAAAGTCCAGACATTAGTTTTTAAAAGACTGCCTTCCACCACGCGAAAGAAATGCAAAGGTATTAAACATTTACAAGGCACATTCTGCTGCACTACGGAGAAATGAGACAGCTTGGAATTTGGGCTGCAGCTTTTTGGGAATATACCCAGGAAAAGAGACAATCTGCTTCTAAACACATTTACTCCAGAGCCAAAACCCATCTTTCAGCCTCTAAGGCGTTAAACAGCTTTGGAACAACCACAGCTCCAGGATAATAAGAGAGAAAAATTGTGCCCTCAAATCCTGCAGACACACCATAATGCCAGTTCTTGGAGAGGAATGCACCTCATCTCTCCGTAACGTGCCTGCCTCTCCTCTGCAGTCTCCCCCAGCCGCTGTGGACAGAGCTACAGATCAGAACTTCACAAATACCTGCGAACAATTTGCATGACGAAACGAGGAGCGTACAGAAATCTGTTCCTCAGCGCGTCAACCCCCCAAATCAGATTTCAACCCACCAAACGAGAGCTCACTTGCTAAGACAGCTCGTCACCTATCAGCACATATCACGAATAGATGCTGCAGATCCGCTGCTTCCCCACATACCGCTTTGAGACTACGCCCTCTCCCAAATCTACTGACTTTGGAGCAGTTTCAATGGTTTTTGTGTCTTGCTATTTTCTGTGAGAAGCACAGAAGCACAAGATGAAAAACTTCTACAGGAAAGTTTCTCCGACAAAAGACATTTTCAAGACCACCCTTATTTAATGCTGGAACGCCTGTTTGCCATTTCACCATCACAAGCCCTTAGCAGAGATCCCAGGGAAGCCTTACGAAGTGGCGGTTCAGGAAGCACAAACGCATTCAGCTGAACTTCATTCTTTGGCAGGGTCACTTCGACGCTGTCTCCAGCAGAAACTACCAGCTCCTTCATAACTGAGAGGGAGAAACACAGGATTGAAAGAAGAAAAGGAAAAAAAATTAAATACGTACATAAAAACCGCCTTGGTTTCAGATTCTGTGGAACAAAAACCAGCTACAAAAGGCTGTATTTTGTAAACATCCCATCACTCAATACAGTTCCCGTTTCAGGTTTCGCTCTCATTGTTAATGCCAAAGCGCTAATGGGGCTTTACAACTTTAAGGCAAGCCCCAAATTACTCCGTCACCTCTCTTTGCAGACACTGTGCAGCTCCTGCCCCTTTTCTACAGGGCTGAAACGCGACCCTCGCCCCGCAGCGGGGCACCTGCTCCCCAGCCCCGGCAGCACGGGCAGCCCTTTACCCGACAGGCTTTCGGCAGCCATCCCCGCTGCACTCCCACCGCACAGCAGGACAAACACTGCTATTTATCAAACTGCAATTCCAGATCTTCACAAATATATGAAGAATCCATGGTATTTCTTTTTCGAAAAACTGCTTGGGGCTAAGAGATTTTTTTTTTTAAATCTGCATAGCTCCCACACTGAGTATGGGAACTCAAAATGCAAACCTGTTCCTTTTATTTATATTTTTGTTTCAAGCCATTTAAGAATTTTTTTTCCATTCCACTTCAAATAAATTGATGAGTAGTTTGTTTTTAAAGACTACAGGGTAAAGACTTGAAAACTGTGGCTTCAAACGTATCTTTTGGCGACATTTTTTTTTTTTTCTGCTTGCTATCAGCATTAAGGTAACCAGAAAGTTGACCGCATTTCTTAAGAGTACCTCTCAGCCTCCTCTTCCCTTCCCATTTGCTTTATTTTTGTCTCTTTATTATTGGACCTGAGAATTATGCATAGAAAATAAGAATTAAAGTTGCTTCACACAAGTTTGACCCTGTCAAATACAATGTTTCAGAGATATTCATTAAAAATCCAAGTTTAAAAGACTGGGAAAATGTCATTAAACATTTAGCCTTTCTTCCATCTGTTTATTAGCTACTGGAAGTAACCAGTTAACTAGAAGAAAAAAAACTCATCAAACTCTTTTTTTCCCCTTTCAGTTACTCCAGATCCTGGGATATAACAACTCCATCAGTCTTTCAGCTGCAGAGTTCCAAGGCAAAAAGAAATCTGATCTTAGTAGGAAAAAAAAAAACAAAACCCAACAAACAGACAAAAAACCAAAACCCTGCTTGGAAAAACTATGCTTCACATCATCTTTGTATTGTTCAGCAAAGCAAGGAGGCCCTGGCTATGTTACTTTTCCAACACAAGCCACTGAAGATGTTTATTTTCCAGTTTGAGCTGGGGTAAGCCCTTAAAAAGAACACCAACTCGTAAGTACAAGCATCCAGTCAGCTTCCTGCCAAAAATGTCTTTGGATGCAGCATTTCCTTTACGCTTTCCATTTGTTCCCTTGTAAGGGAAAGGAACCCTAAACTCAAAAGAAATTCAGCTTCCGTAAATTGGATGAACTGAATTCTGAGACATCACTCCACCAGCCTACACCATTCACCGTATGTACACATCCTCAGTGGGTGGGCTGATGGCCTGGGCGAGTTAACAGGGCTGTCCAAAGTGCATTTTGGCTTTTATACATTTTTAATAGTTTAAGAAATACCAGTGCAAACAGAAACATCATTTTGTTGCAAAGCAAAGCATGGGTTAACAGCCAAGTACGTTGCTCTCCACGGCTGAACTGTGCATCGACATTTCAGTAAAGAATCAGCTACACCCCATTTTGAGCAGCCATTAAGATTTCTGCTCAACTTGATAGATAGCAGTGTGTCGAGACTACTGAAAGCATGCTGCAGGGGACTATGCCTTGCACCACATTTGAACTTAGACTTTTGCAATTAAGATATCACTTTCAAGCTGTTGCTGGAAATAGATCCAATGGTCACAGGCAGATTTATGATGCCAAAGTCCCATTCTCAGACCTCACGAGTTAACGGGGTCCAACCGGCACGTGCGCTGAAGCATGTATCTTAGCACTTTTTCAAAAGTACCATAATTTCTGAAGTTATCTCATACTTTTCAATACTACAATCGCTTGTCAGCAAAACCTGAGCAGATGAGATCTGCTGGAGCACCGCCTGTTCTCACCCGGTGTGGTGGCAGTGGTACTTGGTGACGCAGCAGCGCTGGTCTGTGTCGTGGAAACACTGCCGTTCGTGGGAACTCCGCTTGGCACAGAAGTAGCTGTCTCCATCTTCGTTGTGCTTTTCCCCGGCACGGGGCTGACTGTGGGCAGCACATCTGAGGAGTGAGGACGGACCAAAGCATCATCTGGCTGCTCGGGCTTCTCAGTCTTTCCTGCGGCCGTCAAGCCCTGTGCTCCAGGACTGGAGAACGTGGCCAGCACCGATGGTTCTGGTGCAGATGTTCCTGTGTGGACCTGAAAAGAAAAAAGTTGTCTTAGTTTGAGTGAACGCTGAATGTCAGTTTTGTTTTTACCGTGTTTAAGTCGCATTTCACCTCCTCCAGTTAGGGAGGCTGAAGAGCCCCTGGTTTGTTTTTCCCAGAGCAGGATGTTTTACTGCTTCCTCCTCTCTCTTCCGAGTTGCTTCGCAGTGTTCTTCCTCCACAGGAGACAGGCTATGTCTAGCTCAGCTGAACACCAGTTAAGACCACAGATTTGACTACAGCAGCTTAAGTACCATGGTTGTTGATGTGGCAAACGTGACAGAAGATCTAGGTTCAAAATCGCAGTGAGTGGAGCTAAACGAACAGAGAGATGGGATGAGGCAGAAGCAAAAACAGAGACCGAGAACTGGGGTTCATTTGGGCCGTTTATTTTGGCCATGTAGTCCTTTTTCTAAAGCTGTGCAGTTGGCAAACACAAAGCAGGAGGATTGCAATGGCATTTTTACGTAATAATTGAATCACTGCAGCAAGAGGAAATTTATTCAAAGCACGGTGACCCGAGACAAACTGCTGCCTGTGTGCAGGCCACAGGAGAGGTCGCTGGGGCAGGGAGCTGAGCTCAGCCTGCTCGCATCCATACAGGATGAGCCACTTTATTGCAAATAATCAAAGTGACAGGAACAATTTCCTTTCTTTCATCAGAAAATTCCTTTTACAGTACCTAGCCCCACTCCAGTTCTCAACCTGCCAAGCAACACTCCTGACAGTTCACCTTCCACCAGACAGTACACGTGCACAGCACATTTTGGTGAGCTAACGCTATTCTGAGAACATCTGCTGAATATTTAAAATGGAGCCATTTCCCATCTTTGACTTGAGAAGCGTTTTGGAGCTGAATCGCTCATTGCTACTCCCCACCAGAGGAGCTGATCAAATGTTCACATTGGAGGAAATATTCTGAAGTTTTTATTCCATGTTGCTGGCATCCAGTCCAGTAAATGGGAACTGTAAAAAATGCTCTGGGCCATGGGGGGCAAGATCCTGGCCAGTAAATGGGCTGGGCTTCAGAAACACTAAATGCCACTGTAAAAATAAAGCCATCCTGCACATACCACCACTGCCAGCCAGGCCAGGAGCAGTGATGCAGGCACTGAAGGCTTCTCTGCAAGAAGGGTTTTATTTTTTTTTTTTACAGTCTTCTGCAAATAATTTCCTCTCCCCATATCTCAGCTAATTTTCCCATTTTCCCTCAGTCACAGAATGTAAATAATCTCAATTCATTCATATGTTTGATTAGCACTGGAGCTTTACGGACCATAGAACCAAACACTACTTGTTAGTGTCACAGGCATAAGCTGGTTTTCTCCATTTCCTTACTTGTTGATGAGGTTCCTTCATCTTTAACAACCGAACTATGGATTCTTTGGAACAAAGATGCCGGTGAAATCTGGCATACTGCTCTGCACCGCTCTT